GCAACCTCTTGAAGCGGTCGCGCACCAGAGTGAACGAGCCCTGGGGGCCACAGGGGGGAGCACAGAAGGAAGAAATACGTTCGAGCATAGGCACGAGGTGCACCAACCCTGGAGTGCACGCAACCTCTTGAAGCGGTCGCGCACCAGAGTGAACGAGCCCTGGGGGCCACAGGGGGGAGCACAGAAGGAAGAAATACGTTCGAGCATAGGCACGAGGTGCACCAACCCTGGAGTGCACGCAACCTCTTGAAGCGGTCGCGCACCAGAGTGAACGAGCCCTGGGGGCCACAGGGGGGAGCACAGAAGGAAGAAATACGTTCGAGCATAGGCACGAGGTGCACCAACCCTGGAGTGCACGCAACCTCTTGAAGCGGTCGCGCACCAGAGTGAACGAGCCCTGGGGCCACAGGGGGGAGCACAGAAGGAAGAAATACGTTCGAGCATAGGCACGAGGTGCACCAACCCTGGAGTGCACGCAACCTCTTGAAGCGGTCGCGCACCAGAGTGAACGAGCCCTGGGGGCCACAGGGGGAGCACAGAAGGAAGAAATACGTTCGAGCATAGGCACGAGGTGCACCAACCCTGGAGTGCACGCAACCTCTTGAAGCGGTCGCGCACCAGAGTGAACGAGCCCTGGGGGCCACAGGGGGGAGCACAGAAGGAAGAAATACGTTCGAGCATAGGCACGAGGTGCACCAACCCTGGAGTGCACGCAACCTCTTGAAGCGGTCGCGCACCAGAGTGAACGAGCCCTGGGGGCCACAGGGGGGAGCACAGAAGGAAGAAATACGTTCGAGCATAGGCACGAGGTGCACCAACCCTGGAGTGCACGCAACCTCTTGAAGCGGTCGCGCACCAGAGTGAACGAGCCCTGGGGGCCACAGGGGGGAGCACAGAAGGAAGAAATACGTTCGAGCATAGGCACGAGGTGCACCAACCCTGGAGTGCACGCAACCTCTTGAAGCGGTCGCGCACCAGAGTGAACGAGCCCTGGGGGCCACAGGGGGGAGCACAGAAGGAAGAAATACGTTCGAGCATAGGCACGAGGTGCACCAACCCTGGAGTGCACGCAACCTCTTGAAGCGGTCGCGCACCAGAGTGAACGAGCCCTGGGGGCCACAGGGGGGAGCACAGAAGGAAGAAATACGTTCGAGCATAGGCACGAGGTGCACCAACCCTGGAGTGCACGCAACCTCTTGAAGCGGTCGCGCACCAGAGTGAACGAGCCCTGGGGGCCACAGGGGGGAGCACAGAAGGAAGAAATACGTTCGAGCATAGGCACGAGGTGCACCAACCCTGGAGTGCACGCAACCTCTTGAAGCGGTCGCGCACCAGAGTGAACGAGCCCTGGGGGCCACAGGGGGGAGCACAGAAGGAAGAAATACGTTCGAGCATAGGCACGAGGTGCACCAACCCTGGAGTGCACGCAACCTCTTGAAGCGGTCGCGCACCAGAGTGAACGAGCCCTGGGGGCCACAGGGGGGAGCACAGAAGGAAGAAATACGTTCGAGCATAGGCACGAGGTGCACCAACCCTGGAGTGCACGCAACCTCTTGAAGCGGTCGTGCACCAGAGTGAACGAGCCCTGGGGGCCACAGGGGGGAGCACAGAAGGAAGAAATACGTTCGAGCATAGGCACGAGGTGCACCAACCCTGGAGTGCACGCAACCTCTTGAAGCGGTCGCGCACCAGAGTGAACGAGCCCTGGGGGCCACAGGGGGGAGCACAGAAGGAAGAAATACGTTCGAGCATAGGCACGAGGTGCACCAACCCTGGAGTGCACGCAACCTCTTGAAGCGGTCGCGCACCAGAGTGAACGAGCCCTGGGGGCCACAGGGGGGAGCACAGAAGGAAGAAATACGTTCGAGCATAGGCACGAGGTGCACCAACCCTGGAGTGCACGCAACCTCTTGAAGCGGTCGCGCACCAGAGTGAACGAGCCCTGGGGGCCACAGGGGGGAGCACAGAAGGAAGAAATACGTTCGAGCATAGGCACGAGGTGCACCAACCCTGGAGTGCACGCAACCTCTTGAAGCGGTCGCGCACCAGAGTGAACGAGCCCTGGGGGCCACAGGGGGGAGCACAGAAGGAAGAAATACGTTCGAGCATAGGCACGAGGTGCACCAACCCTGGAGTGCACGCAACCTCTTGAAGCGGTCGCGCACCAGAGTGAACGAGCCCTGGGGGCCACAGGGGGGAGCACAGAAGGAAGAAATACGTTCGAGCATAGGCACGAGGTGCACCAACCCTGGAGTGCACGCAACCTCTTGAAGCGGTCGCGCACCAGAGTGAACGAGCCCTGGGGGCCACAGGGGGGAGCACAGAAGGAAGAAATACGTTCGAGCATAGGCACGAGGTGCACCAACCCTGGAGTGCACGCAACCTCTTGAAGCGGTCGCGCACCAGAGTGAACGAGCCCTGGGGCCACAGGGGGGAGCACAGAAGGACGGAATACGTTCGAGCACAGGCACGAGGTGCACCAACCCTGGAGTGCCAACAACCTCTTGAAGCGGTCTCGGACCAGAGTGAACGAGCCCTGGGGGCCACAGGGGGAGCACAGAAGGAAGAAATACGTTCGAGCATAGGCACGAGGTGCACCAACCCTGGAGTGCACGCAACCTCTTGAAGCGGTCGAGCGGTCGCGCACCAGAGTGAACGAGCCCTGGGGGCCACAGGGGGGAGCACAGAAGGAAGAAATACGTTCGAGCATAGGCACGAGGTGCACCAACCCTGGAGTGCACGCAACCTCTTGAAGCGGTCGCGCACCAGAGTGAACGAGCCCTGGGGGCCACAGGGGGGAGCACAGAAGGAAGAAATACGTTCGAGCATAGGCACGAGGTGCACCAACCCTGGAGTGCACGCAACCTCTTGAAGCGGTCGCGCACCAGAGTGAACGAGCCCTGGGGGCCACAGGGGGGAGCACAGAAGGAAGAAATACGTTCGAGCATAGGCACGAGGTGCACCAACCCTGGAGTGCACGCAACCTCTTGAAGCGGTCGCGCACCAGAGTGAACGAGCCCTGGGGGCCACAGGGGGGAGCACAGAAGGAAGAAATACGTTCGAGCATAGGCACGAGGTGCACCAACCCTGGAGTGCACGCAACCTCTTGAAGCGGTCGCGCACCAGAGTGAACGAGCCCTGGGGGCCACAGGGGGGAGCACAGAAGGAAGAAATACGTTCGAGCATAGGCACGAGGTGCACCAACCCTGGAGTGCACGCAACCTCTTGAAGCGGTCGCGCACCAGAGTGAACGAGCCCTGGGGGCCACAGGGGGGAGCACAGAAGGAAGAAATACGTTCGAGCATAGGCACGAGGTGCACCAACCCTGGAGTGCACGCAACCTCTTGAAGCGGTCGCGCACCAGAGTGAACGAGCCCTGGGGGCCACAGGGGGGAGCACAGAAGGAAGAAATACGTTCGAGCATAGGCACGAGGTGCACCAACCCTGGAGTGCACGCAACCTCTTGAAGCGGTCGCGCACCAGAGTGAACGAGCCCTGGGGGCCACAGGGGGGAGCACAGAAGGACGGAATACGTTCGAGCACAGGCACGAGGTGCACCAACCCTGGAGTGCCAACAACCTCTTGAAGCGGTCTCGGACCAGAGTGAACGAGCCCTGGGGGCCACAGGGGGGAGCACAGAAGGAAGAAATACGTTCGAGCATAGGCACGAGGTGCACCAACCCTGGAGTGCACGCAACCTCTTGAAGCGGTCGAGCGGTCGCGCACCAGAGTGAACGAGCCCTGGGGGCCACAGGGGGGAGCACAGAAGGAAGAAATACGTTCGAGCATAGGCACGAGGTGCACCAACCCTGGAGTGCACGCAACCTCTTGAAGCGGTCGCGCACCAGAGTGAACGAGCCCTGGGGGCCACAGGGGGGAGCACAGAAGGAAGAAATACGTTCGAGCATAGGCACGAGGTGCACCAACCCTGGAGTGCACGCAACCTCTTGAAGCGGTCGCGCACCAGAGTGAACGAGCCCTGGGGGCCACAGGGGGGAGCACAGAAGGAAGAAATACGTTCGAGCATAGGCACGAGGTGCACCAACCCTGGAGTGCACGCAACCTCTTGAAGCGGTCGCGCACCAGAGTGAACGAGCCCTGGGGGCCACAGGGGGGAGCACAGAAGGAAGAAATACGTTCGAGCATAGGCACGAGGTGCACCAACCCTGGAGTGCACGCAACCTCTTGAAGCGGTCGCGCACCAGAGTGAACGAGCCCTGGGGGCCACAGGGGGGAGCACAGAAGGAAGAAATACGTTCGAGCATAGGCACGAGGTGCACCAACCCTGGAGTGCACGCAACCTCTTGAAGCGGTCGCGCACCAGAGTGAACGAGCCCTGGGGGCCACAGGGGGGAGCACAGAAGGAAGAAATACGTTCGAGCATAGGCACGAGGTGCACCAACCCTGGAGTGCACGCAACCTCTTGAAGCGGTCGCGCACCAGAGTGAACGAGCCCTGGGGGCCACAGGGGGGAGCACAGAAGGACGGAATACGTTCGAGCATAGGCACGAGGTGCACCAACCCTGGAGTGCCAACAACCTCTTGAAGCGGTCTCGGACCAGAGTGAACGAGCCCTGGGGGCCACAGGGGGGAGCACAGAAGGAAGAAATACGTTGGAGCACGTTCTGTCGGTGCCCTCGGCGCACGCAACCCTGGAGTGCCAACAACCTCTTGAAGCGGTCTCGCACCAGAGTGAACGAGCCCTGGGGGCCACAAGGGAGAGTTAGGGGGAGGAGGGAAAGGGGAAGGGGAAAAAGGAGGGCGAGAGGGGGAGAAGAAGGGCTGGGGGGGCTGAACTGGTGAGCCCCGTTGAGCCCCGTTGAGCTCCCTTCTTCTGATGTCCACACGTTGGCTTTTGAGTTGACTCAAAAGGTGACTTGGTGTGTCTGATGTCCACACGTTGTGATGAATGCAGGGAAACAGACATGCAGCTTAACACGCATGCAGAAACCTAACACACACACATACCCTACTGCGGACGGGAGAGGAAGGGGAGTTACCTTGAGTTGCCTGAGGGAGCCAGTGACTTGGTCCGATGTCAAAACATTCATTGGCTCTGGCTTGAACCTGGCCACACGGCACGTTTGCGCACACAGTCAGGGAGCGACAGGTAGAGGGATGGTGAAAGAGAACGAGGAGCACAGTCACGAGATGAGGTGAAAAGGTTGATGTGAGCACGTTCATTGGCTCTGGCTTGAACCTGGCCGCACGGCACGTTTGCACACACAATCAGGGAGCGACAGGTAGAGGGAAGGTGAAAAGGAACGAGCGACAGGATGGGGTGAATGACTCGAGGAACCAGGCAGTAAACAAGTGAGGGAAACGGCTTTTGAGTCGAAACTGAAAAGCTGAATGAATCGAGGAACCAGGCAGTAAACAAGTGAGGCAAACGGCTTTTGAGTCGAAACTGAAAAGCTGAATGAATCGAGGAACCAGGCAGTAAACAAGTGAGGGAAACGGCTTTTGAGTCGAAACTGAAAAGCTGAATGAATCGAGGAACCAGGCAGTAAACAAGTGAGGGAAACGGCTTTTGAGTCGAAACTGAAAAGCTGAATGAATCAAGGAATGCAGTAAAGAAGTGAGGGAAACGGTTAATGCTGTAAATGCAATCAACCAGGCCAACCAGGCCAACCAGACCAACCAGGCCAACCAGGCCAACCAGGCCAAAGTGCCCCAAACCCCCCCACTCACTTGTGCCTGCCCAGCCGGGGCGCTCGTTTCATTCGGAACTCCAGTCTCGCGATCTCCCTCCTCACGCGCCTCTTCTCCGCCTCCTCCCGCTCCTCCTCCATCTCTCTCTTGAGGTCCTTCAGTCGGTCTAAGTCTTTCCGCATCCGCTTCAGCTTCCTCCGCTTCTCAAGCTCTGCTTCCACCAGCCGGTGCCGCATGCGCCGATTCAGGTCTGCCTTGGTCAGGCGGCGAGGGACTTTGTGCCTGTGGGTGGGTTGGGAAGGGACAGAGGGGGAGGAGAGAGAGAGAGAGTACTTGGGAGACTGTATGAGCCATCACCTGCTCACTTCCTCCGCTTTTCGAGCTCTGTCTCCACCAGCCGGTGCCGCATGCGCCGATTCAGGTCAGCACGGGTTAAGCGGCGAGGGACTTTGTGCCTGGGTGGGATAGAAGGGGGATGAGGGGGATGAGGGGGATGAGGGGGATGAGGGGGATGAGGGGGATGAGGGGGATGAGGGGTAGCAAGGGGAGCGAGAGGGACGCAGCAAGTAAGAGCCTTCGCCTTGCTCCGCTTCTCCAGATCCGCTTCAACCACCCGGGCCTTCTTACGCGCATGCGGCAAGTGAGCGCCGCATGCGCTGGTTTTTGGGGCGCCTCAAACATAGACGCCCGCCGCATGTGCTGGTTGAGGTCCGCTTCGGTGAGACGAGAGAGAGCAATGTGGTTGTAGGCTTAGAGGGAGAGGAGCGTGAGAGAGGGAAGAATGGGGAGACAGAGGAACAACAGGGATCGATAATGACTGTGTAGAGTATAGTGCCAAAACCAAAGGCTGAAGTCTTGAAAACCTTACTTTGTGGCAGCAGCAGTGTTGCCATCCCCGTCTTCCCCTTCTTCTTCCTCCTCCTCCTCCTCGTCATCTTCTTCTGCTTGAGTCAGAAAGAAGTCCTGAGAGCAGGGAAAGGAAGGAGAGCAGCAGGAAGGAAGGACGAAACTTCATTCTTGACAACAGCACGCACGAAAAACAACTCATTTTCTCCAAACAGCAGACGAGAACAACAATTTGAATTCTCCAATTAAATTGGTAGCTCCAATCTCGTCCCTCGAATTCTCAGCATTTCTGCGGTAGCTGAGTTCGCGTGATTTTTGAGTCAACTCAAAAGTCACCTAGTAGCTGAGTTCGAGAGATAGAAGTCTAGTTTTGAGGCGCCTCAAAACTCGTCCCTCGAATTCGCAGCATTTCTGCGGTAGCCGAATTCGAGGCTCAATCACTCTCCCCAACACATGGATTCATCTCTCAACTCCCAACCCAACTCCCCACACATCACACCCCACACCCCCCTTCCACTACTGCAGCCTATGCTGTCCCCCCACCCATTCTTACCCTCCCACTCAACTTCTGCAGCCTATGTGGCAACTGCCTTGACCTGACCCACTTTCTCGGTTTCTCACCTTGTCACTTTATCCCCCCACCCATTCTCACCGCTTCCTCCTCCCTCCTCGCTACCTCCTCCCATGTGCGCATCACCAGCAGCTGAGGGAGCATTTCAGCGCTGCTTTGTAGCTCTCCTAGATCTCTCCTTCACCTCCCATACTCACCACCCCACACCGAACTAAACACCTCCCAATGCTCGCCGCTGACTCCTGCATGCATCGACTCAAAAGCCTCCCAATACTCCCCAGCTCACCACTCCCGGCTCTCCCCAAACTTAACCCACCGCTGCCCTCCTGCATGCGAGCTTCCTCCTCCTCGGCTCGCGTCACCAACAGCTGCGGGATAGTTGGGCCCACTGCTGCTCGCTGCTGCTTCCCACGCATCCCCCAAACTCACCACTCCGTATTCCCACCCCACCCCACCCCACCCATTCTCACCGCTGCCTCCTGCATCCTCGCTTCCTCCTCCTCGGCCCGAGTCACCAGCAGGTGAGTAGGCGTTGGGGCCACCACTGCTTGCTGCTTACCAATGCGTTTCCCACGCTCGCCGCACCTTATGCCACCCCCCCCCCCCCCCGCCCCACCTACACTCACCACACCATATCACACCTCCCCACCCGTTCTCACTGCGGCCTCCTGCGTCCGCGTTTCCTCCTCCTCTGCCCGAGTCACCAGCAGCTGAGGGGGCGTTGGCGCCACCGCTGCTTGCTGCTCCCCGTGCATCGCTCCCACTCACCACTCCGTATATCCCACACCATCACCACACCCCACCCCACCACACCCCACCCCACCCCACCCAGTCTCACCGCGGCCTCCTGCATCCTTGCTTCCTCCTCCTCGGCGCGAGTCACCAGCAGCTGAGGGGGCGTTGGCGCCAGCGCTGCCTGGTAGCTCTCCTTGAGTTCATCCGCCACAGCCACGGCTATGGCGTCCTGCCGGGGGAAAGAGCGGGGAGCCAGGCGGAGACAGCAGGGCAGAGCAGAACTTTTGAGGCGCCTCAAAAACCACGTGAACTGAGAGTGCTGTTGAGGCGCCTCAAAAGCACTCTCAGTTCAAGAGGGGGGAGACAGGCGGAAACAGCAGCAGGGAAGAGCAGAATGGGAGCACAAGAACCGAGGAGCTGCCTCATCGGCTGTCTGGTAGCTCTCCTTCTCTTCATCCACCACCGCCACGGCATTGGCGTCCTGGGGCACAGAGGCGGGTGGAGAAGGGGATACAGGACACCACAAGGACCTATTGAGGGAAGGGGTAAGATAAGGCATCGGCGCCAGCGCTGCTGCAAGGAAGAAGGATGGTCGATCCTCCAAGCACCCGGCCTGCTTTCATCCTCCTTGCCGCCTAACACCTCCCCATCCCTTCTTCTCATCAAAAGGATGTAGGGCGTCAATGGCCGGGTGCACATACCTGGTGTTCCTCTATCGAGGGGTTGAAGGAGCACCCAGGCGCGTCAATCTCGACTGCAGGGATGGCAGCGCCCGGCTTGTTCAGGTCCTCCTTGCCGCCGATCATCTTCCCGTCGCCTCGCCTCCTCACTCGCTCCACCACCTGCCCTCCTCCTCCTTCCGCCTTGCCCTTGCCAGCAGTGCGCGGATTTCCTGCTAAATCTGTTGGTGCACGCATCATACCAGGGACACGTGTGTGCGCAAAGGTGTGCAACGGTGTGCAAAGGTGTGCAAAGGTGTGCAAAGGTGTGCGAACGTGACTTATGAGGCGCCTCAAGAGTAGCCTCCTCCTCGCCCCACCACCTCCCAGCCTCACCTTCCCTTCACTGCCCTGCCTGCCTCGCCCCACACTCCCCAGTCTCACCTTCCCTGCCCTCCCCTGCCTGCCTCGCCCCAGTCCCCCCAGCCTCACCTTCCCTTCACTGCCCTGCCTGCCTCGCCCCAGTCCCCCCAGCCTCACCTTCCCTTCACTGCCCTGCCTGCCTCGCCCCACTCTCCCCAGCCTCACCTTCCCTGCCCTGCCCTGCCCTGCCCTGTCTGCCTCGCCCCAGTCCGCCCAGCCTCACCTTCCTCGGCCCAGAGGTCGAAAAGCGGCTTCTGGGAGCTCTTCCGTGCCTGCAACCCCAAACACCAATTCCCCACCAAGGTCAGCGCATCGAAACCCCAAAACCCGAAACCCGAAACCCAAACCCTGACCCTAACCCAAGCCTCTAAACCAGCACGCCTCCTACTGAATGGCACCGCCCATAAACCCCGAACCCTGAACACGTGATAAACCCCGACTTCGACGGGAAAGCCACAAGCGCCTAAGACCCGTCTCAGCTGAGTAAACCCTGAACTCGTGATAAACCCTGAAGCTTGAACCGACTGGATTACTCTCCAACAAAGCCCGAAACCCTGGTATCAGATTGCAGATCCCTCACCTTCTTGGCGCGTCGGTTTCCTCCCGCGATCCCTGGACCAACCGCCGCTACAACTGCTTTTGTCTTATCCGAATCAGCACCACTAGTCAAAGCTACAGCCGTCTCCCCTCCCCCACTCAACCCAGCACTGGCATCCGCCCCACTCGCTGCTGCAATCACATTTCTTCCACTGGCGTCGTCCGCACTCCCTCCCCCCGCTCCCCCTTCCCCGCCCCCATCCCCCGCAGCTGCCGCTGGTGGGGTGACCGAGACCTCCACAGCGGGTTTACCGGCGGCTTTATCCGCGAGTTTATCCGCGGGTTTACCCGCGGGGTTAGCGGCGCTTTTGGCGTGCGCCGGGGCAGCAAGCGGCGGAACGAGCGAGCTACGCTTGAGGATGGCGTCCGCGTGCGACTCGCGCGCGCGCCACTTGTCCACCTTGCGCTCCTTCGGCGCAACTGGAAGGGGAAGGTGGGGGGGGGGAAAGGGGGGGGAGGGGGGAAGGGAGGAAGAGAGTGTAGGGGGGAATTGGGGGCAAGGAGATGGGGAAGAAGGGCGAACAGTCACCGAGAAGGGGTGGCGGGATGTGGAGGAGCGACGGTTGCAAGAGAGGAACGCACGGAAAGAGAATGGAAAGCGAGAGGAGTCTATTTTTGAGGCGTCTCAGAAAGCGGAAGCGGGAGTGTGTGGGAATGACAAGCGAAACAGCCAGACGGAAAGCTGCTGAGATTTATGAAGGGGAGGGGGGGAGGGTGTGTGTGTGTGTTGGGGGGGGGGGGGGGAGGGTGTGGGTGGGTGGGGGGTTTGACCTAATGCCAACCTTTAGACTTATCGACGAAGAATATGTTTTCCGAGGGAACGGCGTCGAGCAGCCCGCCGCTGCGCTCCTCGCGGCCCTTCGCCTCGAGGAACTTGTCGTGGTCCGCTGTGCTGATGTTGCGCCGCCACTCCTTCTTCCCCTTGCGCGACTTGCGGCTCCGCGCCATGGCTCGAGGACGAGAGGATGAGGGGAGACTACTAAGACAGGGGAAACTTTTTGCAAGGCAGGGAGTCACTAAGCGAACTTAGTATCTTGAGTTTACTCTGAAGGGGACAGGTGTATCTTCAGTATCAACGCCCTGATGAGACAGGTGGTGTTCTACGGGGCTTCAATTCAAAGCCCGAGAGATTGCTGGGGAGTTGCGAGGAGGCGAAGGGTTTGAGAGGTTTTGAAGGGGGTTGGACAAGGAAATATTTACGACGGGTATTTTACCCACACACGGGGGTAAAGCATAAAGTTTACGCCATGCACGCTGTCCTTGCAGGTCTGTCGGAGCGGAGCAGCCAATAATGAAACTTGAGAATGACGTCATCACGGCGTGGTTGTAGGGAGTGCCGCTCTGCTGCAGAATCATCGCCAGCCTAACATCTCGACTCTGATTGGACCAACCTATTCGAGAGTTCCATGCGAACGTCATCCACTGGCACGACAGCGCTTTCGCGCGCTCTTCCTAGTTTTTGGGGCACTTGATTTTTTTTGGCACGATCACAGGGTCAGTCAGTTCGGCATTTACCAAGTTGCATTACGTTTTAATGTGATAGCGTATGGTTCAGAACGGTTGTGATTTTCCCGTACAATCAGCAACCATTATGCTCTGCACAAAAACGAACACAACCAATTGTGCGGCAGCACCGCTGGGCCAACCACCACCATCCGATCTAACGGCGACAAAGATCGTGCGGCTGTCGCACAATATTATTTTTTCCGTCACCAGAAGGCATGTCAGGCATGTCAGGCTGTCTCTTATGTGACGCACTGGCCTCCTAAAAAGGTAGGAGAGCGTGTAAGGCAGAACAGAATGATATCACTATTCCCCCAGGATAAGTTAGCTGACCCACCCCGTTCACTGTTTCGTTGATGCTGCCGTTGGCTGCCACTGCTAACTCTCACCTCGCAGCGTAACGATTCCCCTCCCCTCCCTCCACCACTGTGTGTGTGCTTGCGTCACGCCACGGCACATCGCGACCAGCGATGGCGAAGCTGTCACTTGCGAAGCGGCGCACTTTTCGCGATTAGATCCACGTGTCTCTTGCAGCCCGCATCTCATATCGCGTCGCGATTCACCCTGCGGTTGCTACATGTTGCTCCGATAGTTTGATAAACAATTGGAGATACAAGTGGTAATAAACGGTCGATCCTGAGGCTAACAGAATTCTTCATCAGATATTAGATGCCATAGTGCATGCATCCACTTCGCGTTTATAGATGCCCTAAATTTTAGCCCTAATCCACATAATGGGTTGGCGCTTCGCGGACTTATTCTCCGCGTCCGACTCGACCTTATCCGCCACGTCCTCTTCCGGCCACGTGTCATTTACACCGTCAGCAGGCGCATCGCACCCAGCAGCAGCAGCATCTCCAGCAACAGCACCTGCGGCTCCTGCGGCGGCGGCAGCGGCGGCGGCAGCGGCGCCGACATCGCGAGCCGCATCTCGAGCCGCAGGGCATACTAGATATGGAGTCGCATCGGGTACCAACTCTCACATGTCGCGCCTCGATGCCGCAGCCGCCGCCGCCGCTGCCGCTCCGCTCGCAACCGCGCCGGGCGCCGCTCCCGCCGTGGTCGTTCTCGCGCCCCCGCAACAATCCTCCTCTTCCGCCATCTCCCCGCTTCCGCCGTCCGCCTTCGCGCCTTTCGCGCGCGGCCCCGCCGCGGCTGCTCCGCTAGCTCCCCCCGACGCTTCCCCCTCCGAGGCTTCCGCGGACACGTTTTTCTCCCCCCGAGACTCGTTTTCTTCCGCCCATGGCTTTCCCGCCCGAGATTCTTCCTCCCCTTTTAGTCACCGCTCGTTCGATTCGAATCACCCGTCTAGTCACGCTTCGAGCCTCCGTGCCGGCCGGTCTATGCCGTCGTCAGACCCGTCGATCCGGAAAAAGCGGAGACCGCACGATCTTCTCTTCCTGATGCTCTTCTTAGGGTGCTTAGTAGGCACGGGGTACGCGTCGATTCGGATCGGTTCTACCCGGTGGAAAATACTGCCTCCTAGCAGTCCTAAGGAGCATTCCACTGCGGAGTTCTGGCCGGTTCTTATGGTGGCGGCGGCCGTGGCGCTAGCAACTGGGTCGCTCCTCCTGCAGCTACTATTTTTCTACACGAATATGGCGATTAAAGTGGTCGTGCACGTGCTGACGACGTACATAGCGGTGGTTAGCGTGTTCTGCTTCTGGGATAAGGAGTATTTCTGGGGGATCTTCTTCGCTATAGGCGCCATGCTGCAGTTTGTGTACGCCATCGCGGTGGTGGATAGGTGAGTGAGTGTACGCATGTTTATGTGACAGTAACGAGGTGCGTTGTTAACGAGTATTGAGTATAGGCTGCTTCTGGGGCAAGGAGAATTTCTGGGGGATCTTCTTCGCTATAGGCTCCATGCTGCAATTCGTTTACGCCATCTCGGTGGTGGATAGGTGAGGGTACGTATGTTTACTTGCTATTAACGAGGTGGGTAATAACGAGTACACCATGCTGCCTGTGCGGAGAGTGCTGGGATTCACTCATTTCCCTCCCCTCTCCCCCTTCCCTCCCCCCCCCTCTCCCCCACCCCCCCTCCTCCTCCGGTGCTCTTCTTTTTCAAGCAGTGGGCTTTGTGGATCCCCCCCCATCCCCGCCGCCCCTTCCCCTTCCCCCCCCCTTTCTTCCCCCATCAGAATAGCACACATCATGCTGGGATTAATATGTTTCATTCTCCCCCTTCCCCTCTATCTTCACCCTCCCTCTCTTCTCCCGCTCCCCTCTCTCTTCACCCTCTCTCTCTTCTCCCTCCCCCTCCCCTCCTCTCCCCCATCAGAATAGCACACATCATGCTGGGATTAATATGTTTCATTCTCCCCCTTCCCCTCTATCTTCACCCTCCCTCTCTTCTCCCGCTCCCCCTCTCTCTTCACCCTCCCTCTCTTCTCCCTCCCCCTCCCCTCCTCTCCCCCATCAGAATAGCACACACCATGCTGGGATTAATATGTTTCATTCTCCCCCTTCCCCTCTATCTTCACCCTCCCTCTCTTCTCCCGCTCCCCCTCTCTCTTCACCCTCCCTCTCTTCTCCCTCCCCCTCCCCTCCTCTCCCCCATCAGAATAGCATACACCATGCTGGTCGTGCGGAGAGCGCTGGGATTCGCCCGGGGCTTCCCGCTGCTGATTCTCTTTGCCCACGTGGCAGCGCTGCTGCTCGCCACGTGGATGGGTGTCTGGACGTTTGGCGTGTCGGGAATCATGGCGCAGGACCAGGCGAAGCTAGAGCGCTGGTGGATACTGCTGGTAAGGGATTCAGGGGTTAGTGATAGGGCAATTGAGAGCTCTTGGGGTGTCCGGCGTTTCGTGATCAAGCAGGCAAAGCTAGGGCCGTGGTGGATAATGCTGTTGAGGTTTGAGGCGCCTCAAATCACGACTCTTTAGGCGCCTTGAAGAATCGCCTCAAGATTGTGAGAGAGGAGAGAAAAGAAATGGAGAGAGATGGATGCAGGGGGTTGGCTACAGGCCATCCCCCTCTTCCCGTCTTTACGCCTCGCCCCCGCTCACTTCTCTATAGCCCTGTCCTTCCGCCTAGGCCTTCCCTTCTCCATGCCCCGGCGCTGTAACTGCATGGACCGCACCAAGATCGATGACCCGCGGCTCCCAAACCACCTGTTTCGCTGCGGTACCGGTCACGGGCGGACCGACACTCACAACGCGTTGCGCGATGAATGCATTCGTATGGGACAAGGCGTGGGGTTCATCGTCTATCGAGAGACTACTATTTTCTGCCCCGTGGACGGCCACAAGGCGGACCTCGCCATCCGGGACCGGGGAACGGCGGCAGTTTGGATCTGTGACGTCACTGTCACAGACCCAATCGGCAACCGGGACCCCACAGCCCGCAAGGGGCGTGGATTCGTGGCGAGAGAACAAGCGGATAAAAAGATCCGCCCCCTAGCCGTGGAGACGTACGGTTGCCCGTGCTGGGAGGTGCCGGCCTTCCTCAAGCTCCTAGCCGAAGCGGCCGCCAGGAAGCTCTTCAAGGCGGAGCCGGCCACCTACCAGGCGGCCAAGCTCCTACACCTGTTCCGGCAGCGCTGGTCCTGCACCCTCCAGCGAGGTCAGGTCAGGCCGCTTCCTACCTCCAGGAAGGTGAACGAGGCGGCCCAGGTGGAATACCCGCCCATCGGCTCACCTGATGAGTCGCTCTCCCCGGCTGACTGCTTCGCGGTCCTGGAGCCGGTGCTGGAGTGGTCATAGGCATAGGGCGTGTGTGGGTGTCTGTACTCACCTTGCCTGCCAACCGATGCCTAGTTGTACTCAGTTTCCAGAAATACACGGACCGCTTGAGAGAGGGAGAAGGGAAATTATGGCTCAGGAGCAGAGTGACATGCTGGAGCGATCATGGCCCATGGAAGGAAATGCTGGATGCTGTTGGTTGTAGAACCGATACTTTTTAAGGGTTTTTTTGTTTTTCTTCAGGTTCTTTCGTTTGCAATGGTGGTTAGATGTGAATGGACCTCCTATTTTCCCTGTTGTCTGGCTCCATATCCACCCAATCCCCTTCTGCCACGTCAGCTCTTCGCCATGAGCATTTTCTGGACGGCAACAGTCGTCTGCAACATGGTGCACGTGGTGACAGCTGGCGTGATGTCAGCGTGGTTTGCCGCCAGCTCAGCGGAGCAGAACGCCAGCTCAGCAGCAGCGGGGGAAGCAGCCTCTGCAGCAGAGGAGGGTCGGATTGCGGTGGCGGTGCCACCTCAGCAGTTCCAGCTGGCGCCAGGGCGGGTCACTCTGGAGGCCACGTGGCATGCTCTGATTGGCCTTGGGAGCATCTGCTATGGATCGCTTTTCAGCCCTCCGATTCGAGTGCTCCGATGGATGGTGAGGGTTACTTGTGATCAGATGGACGGTGAGGATTGCTGCTCCACACTATCTCTCGCCTCTCCTCTGAGCGCTTCTCTCCTCCCGAATCACCATCCATCCATGCTAGGTAAGTTGGTTCTTGAGAAATTCTCAAACTAATCCTCCACCCATGTCACCATCCATCCGTCCGTGAAGGCGCCAAGTGTGCCTGCATTTCACTATCTTTTTTTCCATTTTCCATGGTTCCCTTCCTTAATTTCCCTTCCTTAATTTCCCTTTCTTGATTTCCCTTCCTTAATTTCCCTTCCTTAATTTCCCTTCCTTAATTTCCCTTCCTTAATTTTCCTTCCTTCATTTCCCTTCCTTAATTTCCCTTCCTTCATTTCCCTTCCTTCTTTTCCCTTCCTTAATTTCCCTTCCTTCATTTCCCTTCCTTCATTTCCCTTCCTTAATTTCCCTTCCTTAATTTCCCTTCCTTAATTTCCCTTCCTTAATTTCCCCTTCTCCATTTCCCGTTCTCCATAACGGCCATTCCTCTGGATGTGCACGGATATAGACCCGCGGCGTGCGAGCGTGGTGCATAGCCAACGCGTGTTTAGTCTTCATTATCAACATCGCCTCTACCACTTGTTGTCCTCTTCCTCTGTCTCCCCTCGTTTTCCCCTGTCTCCCTTCCCTTTCCCCCTTCCACCATATTCCCGCACCAGATACGAGGCGTGCGCGCATGGTGCATAGCCAACGAGTGTTTCTTCTTCATAATCAACATGGCTTTCAACTTTATCGAAGCGCTCACTAGGGCGTTCAACGCCTTCGGCTTCGTCACTGTGAGTCTTGGGATTCAGGTTAGGGTTCAGGTCGGGTTACGTTGAGAATTCTCAAAAATTACCTACAACGTTCAGGTAAGGGTTCAGGTGGGGTTGACTTCCCCTTCTCTTGCATTTCACTTCGTCGAAGCGCTCACCCGGGCGTTCAACGCCTTCGGCTTGTCAATGTGAGTCCTGGGTTCAGGTTCGGGTTCAGGTTAGGCTTGCCCTTCGTCTTGCATTTCATTTCATCGAAGCACTCACCTGGTCCTTCAACGCCTTCGGCTTCGTTGCTGTGAGCGCAGCGCCTTCAGTGTTGCCTTTTGAGGCGACTCAAAAGGCTGCTAGACAGGTACTTACAGTGAGCCTGCTTCTTCTGGCATACACATCGGTCCTCGGATTCATTGAAGCGATCACCAGGGCATTTAATGCCTACGGCTTCGTCACTGAGAGCTCCAATCTAACTCAACGCCTTTCGTGCATTCGCATCACGCTTTCAAGGCGCCTAAAAAATCATTCGCATCACGCTTTCGAGGCGCCTAAAAAATCATTCGCATCACGCTTTCAAGGCGCCTCAAAAATCATTCGCATCACGCTTTCGAGGCGCCTCAAAAAACATTCACATCACGCTTTCGAGGCGCCTTAAAAATCATTCGCATCACGCTTTCGAGGCGCCTCAAAAATCATTCGCATCACGCTTTCGAGGCGACTCAAAAATCATCCGCATCACGCTTTCGCGGCGCCTCAAAAATAATTCGCATCACACTTTCGAGGCGCCTCAAACATAGACTCCGTTTTGTGTAGGCTAGAATAGGTATTTTCAATGAGCGTCTTTCTTGTGCATTCACATCACGTTTTCAACTTTATTGAAGCGCTCTCCAGGACGTTCAATGCCTTTTGGCTTAGTCACTGTGAGTTCAACTCGCTGGCCTTGTTACGTTAGGTTAACGCCATGATGCCATGACTGGACTTTCTGCAAGCAGTGCTGCTGACAACAGACGTGCTTGCAGCGATGGTGGCGGGAACGGCTGCCGCTGATGCTCTTTATCTTATCCTCGCACCCCCGTCTCCCCCCCCACCCCAGCTGGCAATGTACGGCAACAACTTCAACCGCTCGTCCGTGGAGGCGTGGGAGCTGTTCCAATCCACAGGTGTCGAGGCGGTGATAGCATACGACCTGCCGGGAGCCGTGCTGCTGATGGCAGTCGTGCTCACTCCCATTCTTGCACCCCAACCTCCCACCAACACCCAACCAACGCCCAACCACCCAGCTGGGAATGCACGGCAACAACTTCAACCGCTCGTCCGTGGAGGCGTGGGAGCTGTTCCAATCCACAGGTGTCGAGGCGGTGATTGCATACGACCGTTGGGAGCTGTGCTGCTGATGGCATGGCAGTCTTTCTCGCAGCCGTGGTGGCAGGGACTGCTGCTGGGGCCTGCTGTGATGCTCCCTCCCTCTCATGCTTGCACCCCCTCCCCCCTATTCTCCTCTCTCCTCCCCACCCCAGCTGGCAATGTACGGCAACAACTTCAACCGCTCGTCCGTGGAGGCGTGGGAGTTGTTCCAATCCACAGGGGTGGAGGCAGTGATAGCATACGACCTGTCGGGAGCCGTGCTGCTGATGGCAGTGATGCTGGCAGCTATGGTGGCGGGGACGGCAGCGGGCGTGTGGGGGTGGTATGTGGCGGAGGAGCTGGTGGTCACTGTTGGGGCCATGGGGATTGTCACCGGTGCTGCCATGGTGAGTGTTGGGCGGTGAGTGGCCGGTGTATTGGCAGATGTGTGTGTGCTTGTGTTAGCAGGGACGGACAGCGGGTGTGTGGGGGTGGTGCGTGGCGGAGGAGCTGGTGGTCACTGTGGGCGCGATGGGTATCGTAACTGGGGCTGCTATGGTGAGTGTGTGGGGGGTGCCCATGTGCGAATCTGCCAGTGCTGCTGATGGCGGTGATGCTGGCAGCTATGGTGGTGGGGACGGCAGCTGGATTGTGGGGGTAGTACGTGGCGGAAGAGCTGGTGGTGACCGTGGGCGCGATGGGCATCGTGACAGGAGCTGCCATGGTGAGTGTTGGGCGGTGTGTGGGGCAGATGATGCCGGCAGACATGGTGAGTGTGTTCGAGTGTGGGGGGTTGCCCATGTGCGAATCTGCCAGTGCTGCTGATGGCAGTGATGCTCGCAGCCATGGTGAGTGTGTGGTGGGTTGTTGCTGTCAGTGGTGGAGGGAGCGGTCACAGCAACTTACGTAACAGCAGCAGAGGTTCCCACAGCAACATACGTCACAGCAGCAGAGGTTCCCACAGCAACATACGTCACAGCAGCAGAGGTTCCCACAGCAACTTACGTCACAGCAGCAGAGGTTCCCACAGCAACATACGTCACAGCAGCAGAGGTTCCCACAGCAACATACGTCACAGCAGCAGAGGTTCCCACAGCAACATACGTCACAGCAGCAGAGGTTCCCACAGCAACATACGTCACAGCATCATTGGCTGTGTGCACTTCCTTTCTCCTCCATTCCCATCCCTTTCAGGCCGGTGTGTTGCTGTCAGTGGTGGAGGGGGCAGTCACAGCAACGTACGTCACAGCAGCAGAGGACCCCACACTCATCGGCTGTGTTGACGCTGAGTTTGCCGCCCAGTTGCTCGACACGTTACACCAGCGGTTACAGCACCGCAGCGGGAAGCCGTTACCCGCTAGCCTGGCTTCAGACGGTCTTGTAGGGGGGGTGCCGGCAGCATGAGCAGATTTGGCTGGAGAACGAAGGGTGGCTAGCTACCAGCTTCTAGGTGAGCCGGCATCTAGGGGGGGTAAAGAGTTAACGGCACCACACGTTACACCAGCGGTTGCCAGCAGTGGTGGTTTTGAGCTTACAGCTCGCGTCAGACTCGCGAATTACGATGAACCAGGCCGCACCACATTGAATTGTGAGATCGAATTTGTCCTCCGTGTAGAACTGCACGAGTCTGAAGCCAGGTGGTCTAACGCGAGGTCACAGGAATTTCCCCAACTACAGTGTTCACTCATCGTTTGGCCGCTAATCCTAACCCTCCCTTAGATGGCATCTACAGGAGTGGAACACTGGCGTAATATCCTGGGCTGCTGGGCAGCTCGATTGCAATATGCAGTGCCTCAATCCTTGCTTTCTGGTCCTTTGGTGTTGTCCAATAAATGCAATCCAGCATAGAGCTGATCTTGGATGTATCAAGTCAAAGGTCAACAGCTGGTTGATTTGAGATTAGGGCAAAACAAGTCACAAAAAAATGCAAGAGACACCATCAAAGTTGCTAAAAAATAAACCGAATCAGGCAGGTGGGGGGATGGGTCCATCGCTAACGCTTAACGTTATATGAGAAATGAAATGAGGGAAGGGAGAGGGAGGTTGGTCAAAGCTCAGCAGCAGCGCAGCCTCAACGAAACAGACATTAATAAGTATGCCGGAAATATACACCACCACTCGGGGCAACCTGCTGGGGAGGACAAGCACAATAGGCGAGCTTCGCGGAATCGCCTACCAATCAACTACACCCTCGTGGCCGCCACGTGTCATGTCATGCCGGTCTAGAAGAAGACGTTAGGAGGCAGCAGCACGCCGTTGGTCCCGTGGAGGCACATGAGCAGCAGCTTCGCGGCGGCGAGATCTCCCCAGGTTACCACCGCCATCTGCGTCGCGTCGTTGGCGCCGGGCGGCGAGAAAATCACCGTGTTCTTAAGAGCCGACTTCTGCTTCACCAGCTGCACGCCGTACACCGTGCGGAAGCGCGCGCCAGCCTGCGCGCGGCGGAGGAAGCCGATGGGAAGCTTCTGAAGGATCATGTGGTACTCGAGCAGCTTGATCAGCTTGGAGCCGGACAGCTGCGACTTGACGCGCAGCGGGAGCGTTGCGAACGCGCGGTCGACGGGCACGAGGAGGGTCACGGGCTGGGTCTGCACGTAACGCGCGAGGATCGACTCGAAACCTGGAGGGGGGGTGGGGGGGAGAGGGGGGGGGGGGGGGGGGGGAGAAGAGAAAGAGAGAAAGTGAGGTGGCTTTCACCAAACATCTTGAGACATCTCAGATGGGAGGGTCGCGACGAGCGGTCTACCGGCACGAGGAGGGTATCGGGTAGGTCTGCATGCAACGCACGAGGATAGACTCGAAGCCTGTGGATGGATAAGATGCGGAGGGATAGGAGAAGCCAAGGGAAACGGTATGAGGCGACGAAACGAGGTGTGGTGGGGGGGGGAAGGGGGATGGGAGGGAAGCGGGGGAAGGGGGATGGGGGGAGAAGCGCCGCCCAAATTAGCGGGACCCTGGCTGGAGCCCGGTGTAGTTGAGAATCTCTCAGAAACATCTGGGGGGAGCGCGGGTGATAGGAATGAATGCGAGGCGCAGGGCAGTGGAAGCACCGTGTGCTGGCATGAGGAGGCACACGTCGCAGAAGGGTAGAAATGCGGGGGAAGGCATACGGATGTAGCGGTCGAACGGGCCAGACGCATCCATGAGCAGCTTGAGAAAGTGTGGGGAGTACTAGAGTGGGTAGTCACATTGATTTGCGAGCGACTCAACAGAACATGTGAGAAGCTTTATGGTAGAAAGGGGAAGAAGGGGGGAGTAGGGGGAGGGGGGGGGGGTGGGGGAATAGGGGGGAGGAGGGGGAAGAGGGGGGAGGAGGGGGAAGAGGGGGGAGGAGGGGGACGTAGCCGGGGAAAGGGAAGACGCACCGGAATCTTTGAGAAGCTTGAGAAAGGTTGTGAAGGAGCCCTGCTTCCTCAGGAATTCCTTAGCTGCTGTGAGGTCTGCCTGTCCGTCGGGTCGCGCGGAAACTACGGTGAGACACAGCGTGAGAGTCAGAAGTACGGCGGCGACGCATCGAGCCATTTTGGACGAACCCTAATGCTATGGAGGTACGGGTGGGAAGTGCTACTCAGAATGCAACTAGCTGAATGTGGTCGAGTGGAAAGAGCCTTAGGAGGGGGTATGAAAGGAGAGCGGGGGTTGGGGTGGATGGTTGAAGGGATGGGACCAACAAAGCTGCAGGTGGAAAGGAAGAGGAGGAAGGGGGGCTTGTGTGGGGGATGAGGTGTGGAGGTATATTTGAGAAGGGTTTGTATGTAATTTGGAAAGGTATGGTACGGTGCCGCAGACCAGTCTGAAGAAGGGTCGGTATGGAGGTGGAACAGAGAGCATGGCACGGTGCTATACCGTAGCGGGGATTGGTTGGTTTGGATGAATAACAGGCGGAGGAAAGGGGGTCCAACAATAGGCGGAAAAGGGGGAAGCGGGTGGGGGGTAGGAGGGGGGGAAGGTTGGGGGAACTGACGGGGTTTTTAGGTTAGCGGTAACCCTTACTGGAGTTTTACTCTTTTGAGTAACATTTAGCCCTTTCACGGAAGGGTTTCTCATTGTTCCAACCCTCCCGGGCCAGATTTTTGTTCTTTGAGGTTAGTTCGCACCACAGAAAACCACGCGTCACAATCTCCTTGCTCCGTCACTTTGGGGCTACTGAACTCTGTTTTCCTGCGATATTGTGGGATCTGTAGCGCTACTGAAAATGGCTGACAACATTCGGGCAGGCTAGCTGGCAAGAAAAAACTAAAACCCATAGGGGCGAGTATGCCATTCTGGTTGGCATCAACCCTAAATTCGTGGCCCTTTTTCGAGTTTAGGGTTGATGCCATCCAGAATGCCATGCCAGGCCCATAAGGGTTTTATTGTTTCTGCCCTCTGCCCAAGATTAAGGAGATTGTTACACGTGGTTCGCTGTGGAGAGAACTAACCTCAAAGAACAAAAAACTGTCCCTCGGGGGTTTGATCGGCGAGAAACTCTTCCGTAATAGGGGCTAAACGTGATCCCAAAGAGTAAAACGCTAGTAAGGGTTACCAATAACCTAAAAACCTGAACTGACGCGCAGGGTTGATGGGGTGGAAAGAAGGCTACGGGCGGGAACGAGAGGGAGGGGGGAGGGCTGGTGGAGAGGGTAGAGGCGAAGTGGTAATTGGTCAAGCAGATGGGAAACGCGTCAAGGATTCGCGGAAATGGTTTGCGGAGAGCAAGGGGGGGGAAATGGTAGGTGAGAGAGGGAAGGTGAATTTTGTTTTGGATTTCTCCAAGGCTCGCGTATTTTTACAGTGCACACTCGAAAGCGGTCAAAGTTTCTGAGGCACGTGTAAACTTATTCGACATCTGACTCCCACACGTAGCGCGGGAAGACCGTGCAGCGCAGAAAAATGCGAATGGGTCAACAGATGGCGAGGCTGTTGCACTGAAGGGAAATGAATACTGTATGCACCAATAACCAAAACGGAAACTCCATGGAGAAAGGATAGAGGAAACAAAAAGGCTGGGACGAGGATAATATTTATAAACTACCCAAAGTAGCTGCCCAGGACAGCGGTCATCGCAGACTTCAGGAGACTCTCGCGGACATGGGCAAATCGTACGCAAAACTCCTTGCAAAAGTTTCTGGGGCTAGAGCTAAACTGAACAGTGTACGGGTCCACTTGCCCGAAGAACAGGTTTGGCTCTGTCTGTAGCTCCCAGGTGAATTCGGCTCAATCTGGCCATGTAAAGTGTCCATCTACAGGCTCCAACCGTAGTCGACCTCACTAGAAATACATAAAACTCTACAAAACGCTACGGAACTTGCTCCACCGCACGCAACGAACTGTAGCTGTACTCACTCCCTCGCATTCACTCCACTCCACACCACCACCTGAATGAGCATTTTTGTCGCACATGGATGTGACAATTTGGCAGCAAGAGGCGCTAAGTTTCGCCAGAGGGTTGATTTGCCTGTGTATTTGTACAATGTTACAGCCTTTACTTCTGTTAGGAATTTTCCATTCCTAGCGTGCTACACCGCTACAACGCGTACGCCAACCCCACACAGCACCGACATCAGCCCTAGCTTCAGTCCGAACACGTCGCACCGAAACATTCCGCGTCACTCTGAAGCTCTCCGTGTCCTCGAATGCCTTCTCCGAACCTGTTCAATTACGCATCTAGGATTGCTCTGTTGCTTCGCCATTCTATTGTACCACATTCAGTTATTCACAATTTCGCTATCTTATTCCGCGCTACTCTACAAGTTCACCCATAATACATGGTATCAGATCCACTTTCCTCGCTCACCCGTTTCTAGCTGAGTTTTTTTTTTTTAGGGATGCTCGCATGATGACTTCAGCAAAGCTCCAAAGCGGTTGCCTACGAAAATATATTAATTAATTCGCTCAACTACGATAGCGTTTGCGCTTTTAACTGACTTGGATAATCACGGAAGTTACCCTGCCCACCCAGCGTAGTATTCGTGTCATGGATCAAGCAAAATTCGAGGAGCTGATGGCGAAGTTCGCATCAACAGATGCTCGGCTGACAGCTGTACTCGAGGACAAAGTGTCAACTTATAAATATGTTAGTATGTAGAACTTATAGACTAGATAGGTGTTTGTTCTTAGAGTGTACAACTCCAACCCTATACCTTGCTTGTTCTCTCTTGTTTCTATTCATTCTAATATTCTAACGTGGTATCATGCGTAGGTTAGGTCCCCCCCACCCGCTTCCGCCCTGCGCCCTAGCCTACCGCGCCTCGCCGGCCCCTAGCGTGCCCGCCGTCCCATCGCGCCCGTAGCCGGCCCGCCCCTCGCGCCGTCGCCAGCCCCTCGCGCCTTCGCTGGCCCCTCGCGCCTTCGCTGGCCCCTCGCGCCCTAGCTGGCCCCTCGCGTCGTCGCCCGCCCCTCGTGCCGTCGCTGGCCCCTCGCGCCTAACCGGCCCCTCGCGCCCTAGCTGGCCCCTCACGCCTCACCGGCCCCGCGCGCCTGACCGGCCCCTCGTGCCCTAGCTGGCCCCTCGCGCCTTGCCGACCCCTCGCGCCTAGCCGGCCCCTCGCGCCAAGTCGGCCCCTTGCACCCAGCCGGCCCCTATCGCCTAGCCGCCCCCTACTGCCTAACCGACCCCTACCACCTAGCCGGCCCCTACCGCCTAGCCGGCCCCTACCACCTAGCCAGCCCCTCTACTGCACACCTCAAGCCCCACGCGCCCTGCCGGCCCCGCTCCACATGCCGACCCCTTGTGTGCCTCAGCTCCTCGCGCGCCCTCCTCGACCTTCCTTTCGGTTCAGTTCCGGAGAGTCCTGCCGCCGTGCCGCTGAGTCCCTGTGCCGTTGTGCCCATGTGTCCTTGTGCCGCTGTATCCCGGTGCCGTTGTGGTTGAGCGATGGCGAACGCCATGCTCTGTGTGGACGCGGAGGGGCACGCGATCGACTTCGTCGCCTGGCTTGTCGATCTCCGCCGGCACCTGACAAGTCAGCGCCAGGATGGGCACTCCCTGGCTATGCATGTTCATGGCTTGCTTCCTCGTCCCTCCGCCCATGATCCCCTCCCTACTGACCCCACCAATGCTGAGAGTGAGGCCTTTGCTGCTGCAGCACTCGCTCGTGCTGTCTGGGATTCTCGCGATGCTGTAGCACAGCTTGCCATTAGTCATGCGCTTCCCTTGTCTGAGCATCCGCATCTCACTACAGTCGCGAACGCCAAGGATTTCCTAGATGCTGTAGTTGACCGCTACTCCATGCCTACCTCCGCCTTAGCTGGACGCTTGATCCTCCCCATGCTCTTCCCTGATCTCTCTGCTTTCCCCACTGTCGCTGATCTCGCCACTCATCTCCGTACACTAGAGACTAGCTATCGCGCTGCTAGCACTACTGCCCGGCTCACTGCCTCCCCCCCGCCATTCTGCGCTACCCTGTACCTTATTGCCATGCGCCTGCCTGACCGCTTAGCCACTGCCCACGACCACTTCCTTAGCCAGCACCCTGGTGACCTCATCCTGACTGCTTTTGTCGGTACCCTCTCTGAGATAGAGACTCGCCAGCACAATATCGCTTAGTCGAGCGGTGTTGCGGCAGTCCCTATCTTTCAAGGCTGTGCTCCCTCCCAGTGCACGTACGCTGACGTTTCTCCTGCAGTCGCTACTGCTGCTCCTGTCGCTGAGACAGCAGCGGCGGCCTTCCCGCAGCAGCAGCAACAGCATCGGGGCCGTCGTGGCCCCAAGGGAGGGCGTGGTGGTGGTGGCGGCGACAACGGTTCTGACGAGGGGGCTGGGGCAGGCATCCAGGAGCAGCAGCAATCATAGCAGCCGCCGCAGCAGCAGCAGCAGCCGTGGGCCCGCCTCCCACCAGGCTGGCCGGGAGCCCCTGGAGGGGGTGGCCGAGATGGCGGTCCTCGCAGCTCGGCGTCTACCAGCGGCTTTGGTGCTATGGGCTGCCAGTACAAGCTACTGACCAGTCCCCTTTGTGGCACTGTGTGCCGCCGTCCGCACCCGACCGCCCGCTGCTTCCGCCGCCTCGACGTCCTTTTTCGTCGCCGCTTCGGCCCGGCCCCAGACCTCCCTGACTTGCCCAGCCTGCTTTGCCACGGTGTGCCCGTTTTTTACCTAGAAATGGATCAGCTTAGTTCTGCCTTGCATTCTCTGAATGCTGACGCTTCTAGTGTCTCCGGATCTTATTACCCTATATTCTCTAGCTTAGGCGTAGCACTTGTGTGTAGTACAGACTCCCCAGCTGCGTCAGGCGTAGGACCGTTTGCTTTGTGTTAGCGTAGGCTCCACACTCGCTCCTCCTTTGTGTCCGACTACTGCTTCGTTGTCCTTCACACTTGAATCCAGCGTGTCTGCTTGCTTCTTCCACAACCACGCCGCACTCACGCCGCTTGCTGCGCCTGCCGCTGTCGCCCTTGCTGACCCCTCGTCCAGTCCTGTTGTTGCTCGCAGCTACACTACCCTCCCCTGTCCAGCGGTCCCCTCAGGCTCCCTTACAGGCCTCCATATCCCTTCGTTCTCTAGGAACTTAGCTGGTGTCGGCTGTCTTCAGGACCTTGGCGTCACCACTACGTTCCCGGGTCACGAGCGGTACGCCACCTGTGCCGAGGCTGCCTCAGGTTCCCCCCTTGCGACGTTCCCCCGGGACCCGATGGCTGGCCTCTTTACGCTGGACACTGCTTCCCCCCCGGATGGACCGTCCCTCCCGGGTCCTGCGTCTACCGAGGTCGTCCCTGCGTGCTCGTGTCGATCGCTCACTCACCCGTCGCTTCTGTGGCACCACCGCCTAGGTCACCCCGCACTCCTGCGTGTGCGTCACATGTCCCAGCACGGTCTCGTCCTAGGTCTCTCTGCGTCGCTTCCTTCCCTCCCTCCCTCGCCTGCGCCGCCGTGAGCGCCCTGTGTTGAGGGCCGGCTGCGCCATGCTCCTCACTCCTCCTCGCTTTGTCTTGCCACCGCACCCGTTCAGACCCTGCACCTGGACGTCTGGGGCCTAGCCCCCGTCCCCGGACTGCATCGCGAGCGCTACTTTCTAGTGCTCGTGGATGACTACATGCGCTACACCACGCTATTTCCCTTGGAGCGAAAAGTGCCTTACGTTCTCATCTCGTGGGTCGTGGCTGCCCGCCTTCACCGCGGTCTCCTTGCGTTGTGTCTCCACTCCGACCGTGGCGACGAGTTCGCCTCTGGTCGGCTTGGACAGTTCTGTCGTATGGAGGGCATCACCCAGTCATACACCCTACCGGACTCCCCGTAGCAGAATAGGGTCGCTGAGCGATGCATTGGCTTGGTCATGGAGGTGGCTCATACCTCCATGATTCATGCCGGTGCACCCCATTTTCTGTGGTCGTTTGCCGTTCGCTACGCCGCTCACCAGCTTAACCTCTGGTCGCGCTCCCAGCGGCCGCAGATTTCGCCGACCCTTCTTTGGACCGGGTTCCCACGTGACGTGTCCGCGTTCCACGTCTGGGGCTGCCTCGCTCACGTTCGTGCCTCTGGCACGGACAAGCACACTGCCCGCACTGTCCCCTGTGTCTTCCTCAGTTTCCCCCTGGACTCCTCTGACTGGCACTTTTACCACCCGCCATCTCACCGCTTCTTTTACTTCCGTGACGCCACTTTCGACGAGTCTGTCTCCGTTTACCACCGCTTTCCCTACCGAGGTTTCCCAGTTTCCCCTCCCCTGTTTTTGATCCCCACTCCCCTGATAGCCCTTGCTCACCTTCCTCCCCGTCCTGCTCCGTCTGGTGTGTCTCACGTCACTCCCCTCCCGTCGGTTGTCCCGGTCGAGGAGTCGGTTGACTCCAGTGGCCCTGCGGCGTAGTTCTTGCTGCTCGTCTCTCCCCCGGTGTCTCCTCCACCGTCGCAGCCACCGCCGCCACCGCAGCAGCAGCCGCCGCCGTCGCCGTCGCAGCATCAGCCGTTCGTGGCCTCTGGGAGTGCTGGCGTTAAGGAGGGTTCTAGTCCCGCGGTTCCTGTCGTGGCTTGTCCTGGCGGGCTCGGGGTTGGCACCGGTGCTGGAGAGGGTTCTCGCTCTGGGGGTGCTCGTTCAGGGGGTGCTGGAATGGAGTGTTCCTGAGGTAGCCGCGATGCAGCTGGCGGTCCAGATGTCGGCGTCGAGCAGCAGCAACAGCATTCGCCGTCGGTGTCCACCCTTCGTATGCTCGGCCTTTCCTTCCCTGACCGCTCGCCTGCGCCTCCCCCCCCCGCCTCCTCCCCTTCCTATCCACGGTCCTGTGTTTCCTCCGCCGGACTCGTCACCGGCTCGTTTCCCACCTCGTTATCCTCCTGTTACTCCTCCTCTGTCTCCTGACCCGACGCCCCCGTCTCACGTCTGGTCTCGCCGTCCTTCTCGTGCTTGTCCTGTCTCCCCTGTTCAGCGTTCTCACCCTATGTTGCTTTGTTCCCACGCGTCTCGTCCTCCCCTCCTACCTTCGCCTCCTCCGTTATCACTCACTGTCGCGCCTCCCCCTCTCTGTGACTACCTTCGTGCTACTCGTCCTCTTGTTCCTCGGGTCCTTGCCTCCCTTGTTACGGACATGTCTGTACCTCTCTTGCGCCTTGACGCTCTTGTCGCTGCTGTCGCTGACTTCGCCTTTACCCGCCGCCTTGGTAGTGACGTCCAAGAGGACAGGTAGTACTAGCTTGCTTTCCTGTCCGAGGCTGCTCCCCATCTCTGCTCCATGCTGCTAGTCCCTGAGGGTGACCCAGACGCCTTTGACACCCCGACCCCTCGCACTTACGCTGAGGCGGCCTCGGGACCCTGGGCCTCTCAGTGGATAGCTGACATGGAGCAGGAGATGGCATCTTGGAGATCCACCGGCACCTACGTCGATGCAGTTCCTCCACCTAGGGTGAATGTAGTCGATGGCCGGTGGCTCTTCATGGCGAAGCGCCCCCCTGGAGAGCCGCCTGCGTTCAAGGCGCACTATGTGGGTAGAGGCTTCAGTCAGCAAGAGGGGGTGGATTTCTTTCAGACCTTCGCCCCGACACCGAAGATGACTACTCTTTGGGCGCTGCTACACGTAGTACCACAGCGTGACTACGAGCTCCACTCCCTCGAATTATCCACTGCTTTTCTTCAGGGCAGCCTACACGAGCAGGTCTACCTGCGCCGACCGCAGGGCTTCTCTCCTGGGACCCAGTGGCTCCTCCGACGCCCGGTCTACGGCCTGCGATAGGCACCCCATGAGTGGCAGGATACGCTGCGTGCTACGCTAGCTGACCTGCATTTCTTTCCGTCCTCTGCAGACCCTTCGCTCTTCGTTCGTGCTGGCCAGACTCCGTTGTAGATCCTTGTCTGCTCGAGATTGCCCTGACCTGAAGTAGAAAAGAAGAATGGTGCTGAAGGGCAGGGAAATGCATAGCATCAATAGCAGACGGTCCCCCTAGTGATAAGGGTGCATCGCCCAAAGAACAGCATCTCTACCGGGTCGTGGTATCGATACATGCTATCGACGTAGGGGATGAACCTGTGGACCACCCTGTACTGGCGGAAGGGAAAGTCAACGGCAAAAGAAACAAATCTTCATCGATGGTGGCACGAGCCACTGTTTAATTCATCGACCGATGGCTAAAAAATTGGTTTTACCCTTGGAAAAGTGTCTACCCGAAATTGACGCGTGATTGGTCGACGACACTCTACTGGCAATACGCGACAAAGTGCGGGTCATTCGCATGAAGTGTGGAGACGATTTCGACTTTAGAGCGCCGATGTTGGCGACAACATTGGACGGCTATGATGCAGCTCAGACAAGATCTGCTACGGCAGTTTTGTCCGAAAATTGATTGGACAATGGGTGAATGCAAAGTAAGGTGTGCGAACAGTTGGCGAAAATTACTTGTCTGGTGCGGAGCGGACCTAGTGACGACACGTGTGAACGCCATGACGCTGACATGCGCAGTCAAGGAAGAAGCTGAGCTCTTCGCCGTCCATCTACAAGAATCAACGGACGACGATGGCCCGACCGACATCGACAAACTCTGCGCATCAGTTCTCAAGGACCTGGCGAAAATCATCAAACGGTACCGGAGATACTGTATTTCCCGATGATCTACCAAGTGGCCTGCCACCCGAACGCCCAAAGGACCATCAGATCGAGCTGGAGCCCGGCACGCTAAGTACTATACAAAGTCAATGGAGGCTGAGTCGGAGCTGAACTGCAAGAACTCCGAAGCCATCTAGATAACCTCCTGGCCAAAGGGTTCGTTCAGCCGAGCACGTCCCCGTTCGCGGCGCCGATCCTGTTCACTCCGAAAAAAAGATAGCGGAATTCGCATGTGCATTGACTACCGTGCGCTAAATCGGGTTACCATCAAGCCACGATATCCAATTCCCCGCGCTGACGAGCTGATCGACCAACTTCGCGGAGCTCGCTATGTCTCCAAGATCGATCTTCATGTCAGTTACCACCACATTCGCGCCTTTGCTGACGAATGCCACAAAACTGTGTTTCCTACTCGCTACGGGTCTTACGAATACATAGTCATGCCATTCGGATTAACGAATGCCCCCCTATGCACAGGGTATTCCACGATCTACTCGACAAATGTGTAATCATTTTCTTGGATGACATCCTGATCTACAGCACAACAAATGAGCAGCCCTTAGCGGATCTTGAAGCGGTTTTTTAGCGGCTGCAACAGAATCGCCTCATTACGAAGGGTTCCAAGTGTGAGTTTTGGAAAACTGAACTAGAGTTCCTGGGGCACGCTATCTCTACGGAAGGCATCAAAATAGACCCGAAAAAAAATCAGGACTATTCGGGAGTAGAAGTCGCGAAAAAAACTGCAGGAGCTACAATCCTTTATGGGGTTCGTCAATTATGTGCGACGGTTTATCCCAAACATGGTGGGGCTAACCAAACCACTAACCAGCCTACTGCATAAAGAACCTGATTACAAGTGGGGGGAGAAGCAACAAGTTGCATCTGAGGCGTTAAAACATTTTTTAACGCCGCCACCGGTACTACGCATAGCTGAGCCGGAACGACCGTTCGAGATCGTAACTAATATAAGTGATATCACCATCGGAGCAGTACTGTTACAAGATTTTGGCGACGACCTCCAACCAATCGTGTACGAGTCGCGAAAGTTACAATCCCCTAAGCGAAATTATCCGGTACACGACAAAGAAATGTTGGCGATCGTGCACGCGTTCGAAGTCTGGCGATGCTACCTAACGGGATCGGAGGTGACAGACAGTACAGACCATAAATCACTACTGTACCTGAGGGCGCAGCCGAATCTCAACTCGCGGCAGATTCGCTGGTTGGATTATCTGGAGTCGCATTTCACGTACCGGATCACGAACCAGAAGGGTGCCAACAATATTGCTGACGCCCTATCCAGACCATCTGCCTAGATTGCTGCCGTACTAATCGCCCAGTCGAACCCATTGCTCAGCGGACAATTCACCCATGATTATTCGACCGACCCAGTTTTCGTAAATGGCGCTTATCAGAAGGTTACGACTTCGCGATGTGCCTATTACGAAAGAATGGAACCGATCGAATTTGGGTCCCGAGTTTTAGTCTACTTCACGAATTATAAATTCAAGAAGTCCACGATTCAAATTTATCGGGACATTTCAGGGTTGATAAAACGTTGAAGGCACTGCAGCGGTACTATTATTGACCTAACATGATGACGGACGTGCGGAGATACGTGGCTGCGTGTCCAATCTGCCAGACGATGAAGTCATCACACTAGCGGCCAACAGTACTGTTGCAGCCCCTCGAGCCACCCCAACGACCCTGACAACACGTGTCAATGGATTTTGTCACAAGCCTGCCGGCCGGATGGAGTGGAAACGGCGCGGATCTGGTTGTCGTCGACTGACTCACAAAAATGGCTCATTTTGGGCCATGTCGTACGACAATCACAGCCGAGGAAGCTGCTCGCCTGTTTATTTCAACCGTCGTCCGCCTACATGGTGTCCCTTCGGCGATCATTAGCGACAACGATCCGAAATTCACATCAAAGTTTTGGCAGGACACGTGGGCACGATACTGCATGTGGCTACAGTTCTCGTCCGCCTATCACCCCCAAACGGATGGTCAAACGGAGCAGACCAATCAGACGATAGAGCAGCTGATTCGTACGAACTGCCCGGACGTGGGAGGACGCGCAACCCATGTTGGATTTTTTGTACAACAACGCGTCCTCCACCACGACTAATCACTCTCCATTTAACCGAAATCATGGGATGGACCCAACAATTTCCGTCTCCACCAACGTTGAAAGCCAAGTTCCAAGATTACAGCAGTTCGTGGATAATCTTCAAAAGGCACGCGACAAAACTATCAAATTTATTCGAAAAGCAAATATCGCTGTTCGGCGCTACACTGATTTACACCGTCAAGATATTACCATGGCAGCAGATCAATTAGTCCTCTTGGACACGAAGAATTTATGCGTGCAGATACCGACGAAGCTGTAACCTCGCTACGGTGGCCCTTTCAATTTTATTAAGCTGCTGACGCCCGTTAGCGCCCAGCTGCGACTGCCTGACGACTGGCGAATTCATTATTCGTTCCACGTCAGCCTTTTGCGACCCTTCATCACCGACACATCGGACGTCGCTCGACAGCTGATCTTCCAGCATGTACGGCCACCAACATTCATTGAGCCGATGAAAATCCCGAGTCATCGCGTGCGAGTCAATGGTCAAGGTCGTCACGTTGACTTTCTGATACGATGGACCAATCGTACCATCGAGGACGACACGTGGGTACCCTGGGAGTAGGTACAGTCACGCAAGCATGTCGCAAATAGAGACCACCTTCGCTAGAGGGGGGGTAATGTAAGGAATTTTCCATTCCTTAGCGCGCTACACCGTAAACGCGTACACCAGCCCCACAAAGCACCGACATCAGCCCTAGCTTCGGCCCGAAAACGTCGCACCGAACCATTCCACATCACTCCGAAGTGCTCCGCGTCATCGGGTGCCTTCTCCAAACCTGTTCAATCACACGGCTAGGATTGCTCTGGTGTTCCTTTATCTTGCTTCATCATTCCATTGTACCACATTCAGTTATTCACAATTTCTTTTTCTTATTCTGTGCTACTCTGCAAGTTCACCCATAACAACTTTTTGATGCCAAAACGATTCTTTCCGTGTATCTGAAACTATAAGTGGCATAAACGTTATCCACATCATGTATGTGCGTCACAAAAAGTGAGCCAACAACCCTTACAATAATCAATACTCTTAAATATCGCGACTTCAATGTGATGATCCATCTAGCAACGGAGTCATTGGGATACAAAAACAAATGGGATGTCTTAGCTAGCTTTGGAGCTTTCTTGGAAGAAAGAATACAAGGAGAGGAAGAAGAGAGAATCTACAGTAGCAACCAATTGTCCTGAGGTCAATTCCCGTACAATCCTGCTCCAACGGTGGTAATCGGAGAGGAGCGATGGGAGCGGATATCCGCCACAATTGTTAGTGTACATATATTGTATGTACTGTAGGCTAGCTAGGCGCAAACTATAGAGGGTACAACACCTATATAGGAACCTTGCCCTACATGTGTCTCATCATCCATTCTCAGTTTGACAAGGTATCATCACTAGGTTAGGTCCTTGCCTTCCCCCTTTTGCCCTAGGTACTCCTCGCCCTAGCTTGTCGCCCTAGCCTTGCCTGCACCCTAGCCCTAGCCTGCGCCCTTGCCGCTGCTCGCGCTGCCCGCTACCGCCTGCTGCTTGCGCTGCAAGCTGCCCGCTGCTCAACGCACACTGCGCGATGCTCGCTGCTCGCTGCCCTCTGCACGCCGCTCGCTGCTCGCCGCCTATTGTGAGCCGCCCCCTGTGCGCTGCTCGCTGCTTGTTGCCCGCTGTGCACTGCTCGCTGCGTGCTAGCCGCTGCTGCAGTGGCCGCCAGAGCTGCCACTGCCACCAGCGCAGCCCCCCCCCCCCCCCCCCCTCCCTCCCCCCACTCCCCCCTTGCAACTGCAGCCGTCGTCGCCGCTGCTGCAGCCGCAGCCCCTCCCGCCGCCGCACCTGCAGCGACCCACGCTGCAGCTGTCGCCGATAGCGCCACCGCTGCCTGCAGTGCAGCCGCAACCACCAGCACAGCTGCTGCCACCCTACGGATATTCTGCATTTACCACGGTTTTTTGCCTTTTCGACCACTGTATATAAAGTCTTAATATTTAATGGTGGTACGCTTTGGGAGGGGCACGCAGTGGATGTGTTCACAGCGCTAAAATCCATAATAGTACATTGGATCTAACTTAGTGCCAAAAGATCTGGACCATTGTTTCCCAGGACAAAGAGCAAATTTCCGAACAGCGTTTCTACTACCTAATCCACCGACCCTTGGCCTTGATCACCACCCGCACCCTCCTAGGCATGTTATCTACGAGGTTAGTGCAAACCTTTGCAGGGATCTCTTCGCACTCTTCCTAGATCCACCATTTTGCATAAGGGGGTGAGCACTAGGAAAATTGCGAAGGATTTGAGCGTATGCAAGAGTATTGTGCACGATTTCTAATTGAATGTGATCTCTTAGACTAGCCACGCTGAAGTATGACCAAGGATGCCATTAGCCTATTGGTCCCCTTTTTTCATGGGTCGTATTCGTCATACCATTGTAGGGAAAAAATACAAACGGAGTGGCGAAAACTAGTGTATCCGCCGCGAAACTTAGGGTAACATAGCACGGTCGAGTGTATTGCTGGACCTGCCAATGACCCTACCGCCATCGCTGCTGCCGTGCGCCGCCCCTCCCAGCCCCGGCCTCTGAGCGGGCAATTGGTGTTGACAAGGTGAAGCAAGAGGGCAGTTCTGTAAAGTGGAAGAGGAGGCAGGAAGGCAAGATAGGCATGGAGGCCAGCAAGTGGGTTTTAAGCATGTGAGGGGAGTAGGGGGTTGTGTTAGGAGGAGGGGGGAGCACGCATAAGCATATTGCTACGTCTATGGATTCTGTTGGGGTGACAGGGTCGATGCTTGTGTGCACGGAGTGGGATGCTGGTGGGAGTACGAGGAAGGGGGACGGTTCAGTGAAGAGGAAGAGGAAGCAGGATAGCAGTGGGAAGAGGGTGGAGCAAGTGCGACGAGGTGTTTTACTGCGTGTGTGGACACGAATGGGATAACAGGGTCGCGACTCAGGTGCAGGGGGTGAGATAAAGGGGGAATGAAGATGAGGAGGCATGCGAGGAAATGGGGGCTAGCAGGGGGGAGCAGGGAAGAGCAGGGGGGAGCATGGGGTAGTAGGGGGGATCAGGGGGGAGCAGGGGGGAGCAAGGGGGAGTATTGGGAAGCAGGGAGGAGCAGGGGGGAGCAAAGGGGAGTAGGGTTGGAGATTGGGGGCACCGTGGGGGTGACTGATAGGGTCGAGATTGGGATGCAGGGAGGAGGGAGAAGGGCAAGGAGGAAGGGGGGCGATTGTGAGAAGAGGGAGTGGAAGCAAGAAAGGAGTGCGAGGAGGAGTTGGGTGGAGCAAGCAGGTGGATCCTAAAAAATACCTACAAGGTGAAGGAGATATGGGGGGGCTGGATAGGATGATGTGTATAGGAGTTAGAAAGCAGTTATGGTCACAAAATACCTGTTGTTGTGATTGGTTGGTTAAAAAAATGATGTGTATAGGATTATTCCCCCCGTATCTCCAGCAGTTGAACAGTAGGCTCAAAAAGGGCGTATGCTCAACATCATCAAAAAATGATGTGTATGTGTATACACATACATGGTTAATACTCCTATACACATCATCCTATCCAGCCCCCCCGTATCTCCTTCACGCGTATGGTCACCCGAAGGATCATGCCACTCTTAGTCGTACGAACAGACACTAGTCATGTCACGTGAATAATCGAGATACTGTACACTACGAATAGGTACATTCCAAATAGGTACTTCCTAGAATATAAGTATGTCTGTATTACTAATTATTATTATCCTTGTCATTTTTGACATTTCCAATACAAGGTGTAAAGTCTTCCGCTGACTTTTTACTCTGGTTCCACCAACTCTGGATCATGGCCACCCTTAAACGCGTGGTTCACTTCTACATGGTATTCTGAGCTAGTGGAGTTACATGAACTGATACAAGCTGATTTCGATTACGCCCTAAGTTTAAGTTAGAGATCTACAATTATGAAATTCAACAAGACAGGAAATTCAACTACGAATTCTCGTACCTCTTGTTTATCTACTGACGATCTATCAGACTTTGCTTTTGTAATGAATAATCAGTCTACTCAGCAACAACAACAAGCTCTGGCGCATCATACAGCATCCATGAGCCTTGATAACTCCAGTTATGCAAGAGCTGATGTTGCCATTGGGCCTTGAGCCCCTGGAGATGAGTCCCCTGGGTCTTTTGCCTTCTATGGGCGACCTGTCCAACAACAGCAAAAACAACCACAGCAGTAGCAACAACATCAAATG